CTAGTTTTTAAATGAAGCACCCAAAGTTACCCATCCCCTTGTGGGTAAAGTCCATCCATATGGGATTGGCCCAGAGCAAGGCCCCAAAGCCTGCCACAAGTCTAAGCATCTTCCAGTGGGGACCCACAGAAAAGGGTCAGAAACTACCAGACAAGGCCGGAAGGAAAAGAGCAAAATCAACATCAAAATAAAAGCTGACACTGTCACCTCCCCATGGGTCTCACCCACATCTGTGTCACCCTGTCCACGACCAAAAGACAAGCGCAGCTTCTTCACGTGTCTCTAGGCTCCATCCTGCCTCCTTCCTCAGTCTCTTCTGCAGCTTTTCCTCTTCTTGCTCAGCTCCACCCTCCCTTGGGTGGGGCAGGGAACCTCCCCCTTTCCTGGGGACCACCCTGTTACAACTACACTGAGTTTCTTGGTGCAGAAATTCATTTTGGAATCTCCTCTACTTAGCACTGTACTTGGTCCTATAAGCCTTGCTAGACTGTGTTCTTTTCCCCTTGGTAATCCCCTTCTTTCATATGCAGAAAATTTTCTGTGCCACCATAGATATGGTGGAATAAAAATTAAAAGGGGGGATTGTAACAGGGTGGTCCCCAGGAAAGGGGGAGGTTCCCTGCCCCACCCAAGGGAGGGTGGAGCTGAGCAGGAAGAGGAGAAGCTGCAGAAGAGACTGAGGAAGGAAACAGGATGGAGCCAGGAGACCTGGAGGAGGCGCGAGAAGCCTAGAGACACGTGAAGAAACTGCGCTTGTCTTTTGGTCGTGGACTGGGGGCACAGATGTGGGTGAGACCCGTGGGGAGGTGACAATGGCAGCTTTTATTTTGATGTTGATTTTGCTCTTTTCCTTCCGGGTTTGTCTGGTAGTTTTTGACCCTTTTCTGTGGGTCCCCACTGGAAGATGCTTTAGACTTGTGGCAGGCTTTGGGGCCTTGCTCTGGGCAATCCCATATGGATGGACTTTTACCCACGAGGAGACGGGTAACTTTGGGTGCTTCATTTAGAAACTAGACTCTGCCTTACCTGTATTGTTTCCTAGTTGTATTAAAGTTCCTTCCCATTAAAGTCTCATATGTTTTGTGTTGATGCGGCGGATGGCAGAACCCTACATAAAATAGGCAGGTTTGCAGGGTTTGGGCTGCCCCTCTCCCTGTCCTATAACACTTTCTTCCCACAAGGGCCTTCAACTGGTCTTTTTAACTAATGGAAGGCCTTTCCCCATTCCACCCCTTTCACCACCTAAGGCCCTCTTATTCAGATCTCAATTTAAATGTACTTTCCTCTAATGAGAAGCAAGCCTTTTCTAACCTTTGACTTGATAAGATCATCAGTGGTATTATTTAAAACTTTTCTTTAGGGCCTCAAGCCTGCACCTGCAACCATGAAGTCCTCTCTTAGCAAACCTGTCCCTTTTGGGGCAGCTCTTCCTGCCTGCTTGTGTCTATACAAGTGTCTTTTACTTTTCTGTCCCTTTCCCTAATAAACCTGCTTTTTAAATATTAAAAAAAAAAGTATGTCGTAAACACAGGGGCCTGCCTGGGGTTAAGTCTCAGCACTATCACCTCTATGGCCTGAGTTTCAATCCCCAGCCAGGAAGCTAACCCACATGGCGCAGCAGACCTCTCCTGTCTTGCCTGCTGCTTCTCTTAGCAGTGTACTTAAGAAAATCTGCCTGTTCTTCTCCCGACTCTGTCTCTGGTGAATCATCCCCCCCACCAACACCTCTGGCCTACACCCCAGGTCCTCTACACAAAAATAAATGTTTTCTTTTTTAAAAAGTATGCTATAAATACTATATAATCTAATTCTTACAACCTTAAGTTAATGAAGTTCAGGGAGCATTTATCAAAGTGAAAATTTTCACAATTAGTTCATTTTTGAAAAATTTCACAGGGCCTCCCCGGTGGCGCAGTGGTTGAGTGCTGGGTTGCGAAGCTACCCACAGCTGCTGCAGTGCCGGTTCGATCCCTGGCCACTGGGCGAGGGTCCCACATGGCGCGCAGACCTCCCCTAACTAGCCTGCTGCTCCCCCTCAGCAGTGTATTTTGTCAGTCGGCCTGTTCTGTTCCCCACTCTGGGTCTGGTGAATTCTCTCACCCTCCCGCGCTTCTGACTATACTCAGTGCTGGTATAAATAAAATAAACAAATTTAAAAAAATAATAATAAAATAAATAAAATTCTGTGTCCTCTGTAAAGAACAAATTAATTCAACAACTATCCATGGAGTCCTGATTTTAATATTTTTGGAGTTGGCAATATAAACATGAAAACACCAAACACCACCCCAACCCTTTTTTTTTAAGATTTATTTATTTTGCACACAAAAGCTGGGGTGTAGGCCAGAGGTGCGGGGTGGTGAGAGGATTCACCAGCGACAGAGTGGGGAGCAGAATAGGCACATTGAACACACTGCTGAGGGGAGTGGCAGGCAAGACAGGAGAGGTCTGCTTCACCATGTGGGTTAGATCCTTGGCAGGGGATCGAACTAGTGCTATAGATAGCTTCATAGTGCTGAGACTTAACCCCTTGATCCACCAGGGAGGCCACCACCCCAATCCCTAATGGACTCACCTGATTTAAAGATTCTGAAAAAAATGTCTGCTAAAATCATACTTACGGGCCTCCCTGGTGGCACAAGGTTAGGTTAAGCACCGTACTATGAAGCAATACACAGCCTCGACAGTATGAGTTTGATCCCTGGCTGGCCAGGTAGCAACCACATGGCGCAGCAGACCTCTCCTGACTTGCCTGCTGCTCCCCTCAGCAGTGTATTTCAGTCAGTCTGCCTATTCTGTTCCTCACTCTGTCTCTGGTGAGTACTCTCACCCCTCGCATCTCTGGCCTGCACCCCAGCTATTGTTGCATAAATAAATAAATCTTTAAAAAAATACACAAAAATTGTTAAATTACTATGATTTCCAAACTACAAATGTCATTATAAGAGAAAAAAGTCAGTAATTTTGCTGATCTCATGCCAGTGTTTATTAAGATGAGTCAGTCACTTCATTTAATCGGTTCATACATCTCATGTCATCTGTTTACATATCAGACAGTGTGGGACCTTTTACATCCAGGCCCTCTTGCGTCAATGAAGAGTATCATACATGAATTCCAGTACCTAATGTTCTCCTTTTTTCTTGCTAGCATTAATTTATCTATAGATGATTGAAAGGTTGTGAAAAACTTACCTTTTTCAGTTTTATACAAGATTTTTGGACTCAAAAATTTAGGTAACAAACTTTTTTGGGAGGGGGTTACCCATCCAAATCTGCAAGAACATTTTCAAGGAGTGATTTCAAAAGTGGATTCTCCTGCTCTCATTCAGAAAGTTTTCCTGTCCCTAATTTACTGACTAAATGTTTCCATCTTCACCTATACAACTTGTCTTCTCTTCCTGGCCCTACTCCAATGCCCCACTTCCATAAAACTTTCTATTAACTCCCCCAACTTTCTTTAGAGTCTCTGCAGAGCCCTGCATCATTCTTAAGGTATTTATCACCGGATATTTGTGATATTAATATATTGCGTACATTCCACTTGAGGACCCTGAGTGGCCACTATTATACAGAAAGGGGCCTTAAAATCTCACGTGAAATTGAAGAAGGAAGAAGAATAGACAAGGCACTTCTCTGTATCTTTGTTTCCTATCTCAGTGGGTGGTGGTGAATTAATATGTGTAAAGGAGTTTTGAAAAAGTAAAAATGAGGGGCAGTAATAAGATAATCTTTTCTTTTCTTTTTTTGTACATGAATGTGTTTCTTATTCACAGTTATAATCTTCTGTGTGAAGAGGAAAGGCTAAATGATACCAGAGGGCCATGGATGATATCAGTAGGTGATGATGAGCTTTTAGGTTTTTAGATTTTAAGCAGAGTCATGAGCAGTTCCACAGGATGTGTTTAGCGTCAAACATGGATTTGAATCTTTTCTTTGACACTTGCTGGACTAGCTTTGTTTCGCAGAGTAAGTTATTTTCCTTCTTAGTCAGGGTTTATCTATAGAACAGGGACGAAGGTCATGTTGCGCAGGGTGATAAGAGAATTAGAGATAATGCACGGCCATATAAATGGGGAAGCATTGCTAATACTGAGACTTGGGCTGAAATGTCACTACCTCCGCTCTGTCCTGTTCACAATATTTTCCTCAATGGTGAAAGAGTCGTAATCAAATACAGTATGTGCTGGAGCCTGGGTGTATTTGTTTAAAGAGTTATCAATAAAGTTTTGAATAAAAAAACCGTACTATTTCAATAAAGCTTTGCTCAAATAGGGAGCAAATATCTTATCGCGAGAATCTGGCGGAATGCGTTTCTTGCGCGAGAGTTGTTCTCGCGTTGTTTTCATCAAGCAGTGACGAGAGGCGAACGAGAAGCCCAAATACCGCGAGAACCCGGCGTGTTCTCGCGGTAATTCCTGGGATTGCCCCCTCCCCCCCTTCTCCAAGTGCCGTTTCGGTTTAACCTAGTGTGTGACTGTGAGTCTGTGAGGGAGCGAGTGTGTGAGCTATTGAGGTGAGGCGGTGGCAAGAAAAGGGGCTCCCTCAGAAGCGAGGGACAAAGGGGGCCTGAGGCACCTAGGCTGCGGGACCCCGCGACAGGAAGCCGCCCCGAGCCGGGCTACCGGGTAGGGGAAGGGCCCGCGAAGTCCTCACAGGGCCCCAGAGCCAGAGTCGGGCCCCACAGCCCCGGGCGGTCGGCTTCCTACTTCCTCGACCTTCCCGACGCCGGGGCCTGAGGATTGGCTCGGCCGGCGGAGGGAGGAAGCAGACTTGAGCAGCTACCCGTTGTCTCGCAACTCCACTGCTGAGGAACTCTCATTTCTTGTCTGGCTCCTTCACCCCTACCTCATGTAGGAGGGTGCTGAGGAGTCGGGAGGGAGGAGGAGCCTGGACTACCGTCCCTTCCCTCCCCACCCCCTTTTAGGGGCGCTTTGGTAGGCGTGGGGTTGGGGTTGGGGGGGGTGGGTGGGGGTTACTTTTTGGAGTGCTGGGGAACTTTTTCCCCTTTTTGAGGCCAGAGGAAAGGGAATGCCCAATCCAGAGAGACATGGGGGCAAGAAGGACGGGAGTGGAGGAGCTTCTGGAACTTTGCAGCCGTCATCGGGAGGTGGCAGCTCGAACAGCAGGGAGCGTCACCGCTTGGTATCGAAGCATAAGCGGCATAAGTCCAAGCACTCCAAAGACATGGGATTGATGACTCCCGAAGCAGCACCTTTGGGTACAGTTATCAAACCTTTGGTGGAGTATGATGACATCAGCTCTGATTCCGATACCTTTTCTGACGACATGGCCTTCAAGTTAGACAGGAGGGAAAACGATGAACGTCGTGGAACTGAGCGGAGTGACCGCCTGCACAAACATCGTCACCACCAGCACAGACGTTCCCGGGACTTACTAAAAACTAAGCAGACCGAGAAGGAAAAAAACCAGGAAGTCTCCAGCAAGTCAGGATCGATGAAGGACCGGATATCAGGAAGTTCAAAGCGTTCAAATGAGGAGAATGACGAGTACGGGAAGGCGCAGATCTCCAAAAGCAGCAGCATCAAGGAATCCAGGTCATCCAAACTGCATAAGGAGAAGACCCGAAAGGAACGCGAGGTGAAGTCTGGGCACAAAGACCGGAGTAAAAGTCATCGGAAAAGGGAAACACCCAAAAGTTACAAAACCGTGGACAGCCCGAAACGGAGGTCCAGGAGTCCTCACAGGAAATGGTCTGTCAGCCCCAAGCAAGATGATAGCCCCTCAGGAGCTTCTTACGGCCAAGATTATGACCTCAGTCCTCCAAGATCTCACACCTCTAGCAACTACGACTCTTACAAGAAGAGCCCTGGGGGTACCTCAAGAAGGCAGTCCATTAGCCCACCGTACAAGGAGCCGTCCGCCTACCAGTCCAGCACGCGGTCACCCAGCCCTTACAGCCGACGGCAGAGGTCTGTGAGCCCCTACAGTCGGAGGCGGTCGTCCAGCTACGAAAGGAGCGGCTCTTACAGTGGGAGATCGCCCAGTCCCTACGGCCGCAGGCGCTCCAGCAGCCCTTTCATGAGCAAACGGTCTCTGAGTCGGAGTCCACTCCCCAGGTGAGCATTTGCCGAAGGTCTTTTCCTTGGGTGGGTTGCGAGGAGCTGGCTGTTGGGCACGGCAGCCTTTTGTTGAGCCCCCGGTGTTCGTCATTGACTGGAACACTCAGTAGGCTAGGCATTCAAGTAGGTGAGTCCGAGCTCTTACCCCAGAAGTGGACAAGTGGAGAGTTCACGTGCCTAAAACTGCTACAGGTAGGTGCTTTACAGTGGCGGGCTCCTCACTTGTCAGCTCATGTGTGAGGAGGAATGGGCTCCTGCTTCCCGAGGGCATGGAGCCCTGCTGCTTGGCAGAGCTTGTCTGGCTTTTCTGTTGCTTTGTTTTCAATTTTTAAAATCACCTTGGTCTTTAGATTTCAATGGCCCTAATTGGAGAGGTAGGAAATCACAGATTTTCAGCTGTATTTTATCCGAGCTGCTTGCTTAAGTCACATACCATTTGTGCTGCCCACTAAGTCGCTAAATGTCAAAGCTTACTTTGTGATTGATGATATTTTGATACCATGTAAGAGACTTTGAGCTGTTATTGCTCATGGAAATTTAACTGGCTCTCCTTTTTCCCTTTTGATGCAGAAATTGGTTCCAAGGATAATTGGGTTTTCCTTACAGCATTGCCATTGGCCTGCCCTATGAGTACTGCCAATTTTCAGAATTTTTCTCTCAAAATTAAATGGTAATAGTACCGTCACTGTGCTATTTTTGCAAGAAAGGCACGTTAGTTGTTAGAGTAAATTATCTACAGAAAACTTCTTGTTTCTGGATGATGAGATATACTCCTCTCTGTCCACAAAGCAGAACATGGCTTTGGGGTTACACCTGAGTGGAATTCTAATTTTGCTTTGTGACTTTGGGCAAAAAATTTAATTTATCCATGCCTGAGTTTCTTCATGTGTAAGATAAGAATAATAACTGTCTACTTCTAGAGTTGATGTGAGGATGAATAAGCAACTATGACACGCACAGCACAGTGACTGACACCTGGAGCCTGTTAGTAAATTCTGTGAGGAAAATGTTAAACTCTAGTGGAGAAACTATGTTAATTTGAAAAAAATCCATCCATGTCTTTTATATGTCATGTGAGTAATTTTTGTTTACTTAAAGTTTAATTATCTATGAACTATTTTGAATTCATCAGGTTTCAGCATTCCTAGATGTCAGACTCTGAAGTTCCTTAGTCTTCCCTTCCCAACTCTGTCCCATTTTTTTATAATTTTTCAAGCTTAGAAAAGGTAAAAGATTGTAATGAAGACCCATGTATGTACCATATAGATTCTACAGTTAATATTTGCAATTTATGTTAAATCCATCAGTCTATCTTTTGTTTTGAGTCATCTTAAAGCAAGTTGCAGACATCAGTATACTTCATTCACTGTAAATACTTAAGCATGTATGCCATTAGCTAGAGTTCAAATTTTTCCAGAGGTTTGAGGGGTAAAATTTATATTCAGTGAAATGAGTAATTCCTAAGTGTGCCATTTGTAAACTTCCTTAGTTTTTAAAAGAAATCTAAGAAATATTCTTAGAAAATTGTTTTTTTGAGGGACTAGTTATACTGAGGCTATTCTGAGCATTTTTACTGTTGTGGGGGTTTAGGAAGACAGAAGTGCATTGAAGCTAAAAAATAGGAGTTTCAGTAAGAACTGCTGCTTTGCATGATTCTTTTTGGGTTCATTTCTCAAGTTCTCTCTTCCTATACTCACTTAATTGGTGCCAGAGCCAGAGCAGTAACGGTGAAAATAAGGAAAGAATTGGGGACCCAATATGATAGTATAAAGCACAATATAAATACTGCATAATCCCAGATTCATATCCACATTTTTCATGGGCTTATAAAAAGCATTATATGTTTGTATGTATGCATTACAGATTTTTCCTCATTTATTGGAATTCTAAAAAACAGTAACTACAATTTTTTACAGTCAGAGTAGAGAAACATATAGCTCCTATGGTATTCTCTTTTCCCTTGAGAACAGTAAAAATTGAATAAGCAACATTGTTTTAAGAGATTGAAAATGCTTTAGCAGAAAATCTTTGTGTCCACCAAATTAGTAATGATTAGTGGTAGAAATTTCATTTCAAATGTATAGGACCAAACAATTCAGGAGAAAATACATGTTATTGAAGACAAATTTTTTGTCTGTATTTACCTATTTATTGTCTCCTCTCCCTCCCTTGCCTTTTTTTTTTGAACAGTGAATCTGGACCTCAAATGTAACATTTCTGTCATTAAAAATGCCACAAGCATATGGCCATCCAAACATTCTTATTGACAGTAGTCTTCTGTTCAGAAGTTAAAGGATTTGTAGCAGAGATCCTTAGGAAGATTTAGTCACATCGAAAGATGGTAGAACAATGGTTTATAGAAAATGGCCTCTGACATTACTTAGTGTTTGGGATTTTTAAGGTTAGAAGTTATTCTGGGATAGGATGTTTATTTTATCCTGGCTTTAATTCAATCAGGAAAAAAAAATCACCTTATTAAAGTTATTATTTACAAGATAAGTTTTAACTTCCTTAAAGGTAAGTGGATATGTGGTAAATCCATTTAGCTACATCAATATTCTTTCCTTGTATTCATATATACATGTTGTTATTGTTGTTTTAAGTTATTTGATTCCTATAATGACTTTAATATAACTTTTTTTTTTTTTTAGGAAATTTTGAAAAAATAGTACAGGTATAAGAAAACCATGACTACCATCATCTGAGTTGTTGTCCCCTACACATCCTTCCTTTTTTTTTTTTTTTTTTTTTAAAGATTTATTTATTTATTTATACAGCACTGGGTACAGGTCAGACTCGCAGGAGGGTGAGAGGATTCACCAGAGACAGTGGGGAACGAGCAGGCCGACTGACTGAAATACACTGCTGAAGGGAGCAGCGGGCAAGGCAGGAGAGGTCTGCTGCGCCATGTGGGATTCTCTCTGGCCAGCTGGGATCAAACCGGTGCTGCACAGGCTGCGATGGCTTCACAGCCACTGCCTGCGCCACCAGGGGAGGCCTTCCTTATTATTTTTTGGAAACACATTTGATTCATGTCAGTTTTAACCAATCAGTCATCAAAGATAAAGGGAGATACTGAAGATCTGGAATGTGAACAATTTGTTTTAGACTACTGAGCAGATCACATTTTGTCTAGTCACACACTTTTAATGTTACTTTTTTTCTCACACTGAGAAAAAACTGGTGGCTTTATTAGTAAGTGAAAAATAATCAGTGAGGGTTTGGTTTCAATTTAGAATAATATGTTTCATAGAGTCCCAAACTTCACTTCCCAATGTTTCCCTTGCTAATTAAGAAAGTGAATTGAACATGCAGTAGTACGTTGCTTTATGAATTCCTAAAAACTTGATTGGAAATCATTTCATAGAGAAAGCTCCAAAGGCCATCATGTTTTTGAGGAATTTTAATTATTTTGGTAGGACAGTTTCTTAGTTTGAGAGTCTTATATTTTGGGGGTTAGTTTAGTATAGGCATAACTTAATTATAAACTGAGGAACATAATCTTGTCCTGAGATCTGTCCATTAAATAGCTCCCTAGTTAAAAAAAAAAAATTAGGGGCCTCCCTGGTGGCGCAAGGGGTTAAAATGCAACCTGTGAAGCTCTCCGCAGCCTCTGCAGCATGAGTTCTATACCCTGGCCGTCCAGGGAGCAACCCACATGGCGCAGCAGACCTCTCCTGGCTTGCCCGCTGCTCCCCTCAGCAGTGTATTTCAGTCAGTCTATCTGTTCTGTTTCTCACTCTGTCTCTTGAATCCTCTCACCCCTACACCTCTGGCCTGTACCCCAGCTCTTGTATGCATAAATAAATCTTAAAAAATTAAAAAATAAAAGTAAGAGCTTTAAAAAGAAATTAGGTTTTGGTTAAGCTTGTTAGTTTTAACTCCTTGATTGCTATAACTCACTTTTAGTGTACAGTGTCACTGTTTTCACTTGATCAGAGATAAAACATTAAAAGTAATCATCACAAATATGGGTATTTACTAGTGTGGGGAAAAAATCAATATCTTCCTTCAGTGGAGAATATTTTTAGTGTTACATGATTCAAATATGTTTTTCAGGATTTAGTTCCTTCTAAAATATTTTAAAATATTTTTTGTAATTTTAGATTTACAGAAACTTTGTGAAGACTGTACGGAGTTGTTAAATGCTCTTGCATCCAGTTTCCCTTTTCATTAACATCTTACTTCACTGTGGTACACCTGTTATAGTTAATGACTCAATTAGGGAACTGGTAGTGATACATTATTATTTGATGGTACCTAATCTATTTTTAAGATTGCTAAATTACTCAAGAAGTTTTTTTAAGTTGACAGTTCTCCATATTTTTGTTTTACTGATCTATTTTCCTCCATGTTGCAGTAACCTATCCATTTTTTTCACTGTTGCCTGCATTTATCTTCTTGCCTTTTTCTTTTTCCAATAGGAAATCCATGAAGTCTAGAAGTAGAAGTCCAGCATATTCAAGACACTCATCTTCTCATAGTAAAAAGAAGCGATCCGGGTCACGCAGTCGACATTCCAGTATCTCACCTGTCAGGCTTCCATTGAACTCCAGCTTGGGAGCTGAACTCAGTAGAAAAAAAAAGGAAAGAGCAGCAGCTGCAGCAGCAGCAAAAATGGATGGAAAAGAATCCAAGGGGTCACCTATATTCTTGCCTAGAAAAGAGAACAGTTCAGTAGAGGCTAAGGATTTAGGCTCGGAGTATAAAAAGTTCTCCAGAGGTGTAAAATTGGAGAAATCTGCCCCAGATACTGAACTGGTGAATGTAACACATGTAAACACAGAGGTCAAAAATTCTTTAGATACAGGGAAAATAAAGTTGGATGAGAACTCCGAAAAGCAACCTGTTCCTAAAGATTTGAAAGCACAGGGAACAAGAGACTCTAAACCCATAGCATTGAAAGAGGAGATTGTTGCTCCAAAAGAGACAGAAACATCAGAAAAGGAGATCCCTCCTCCTCTCCCCACAGTTACTTCTCCTCCACCTCCATTACCAACTACTACTCCTCCACCTCAGACACCCCCTTTGCCACCTTTGCCTCCGCTACCAGCTATCCCACAGCAACCACCTCTGCCTCCTCCCCAGCCAGCATTTAGTCAGGTTCTTGCTTCTAGTACTTCAACTGTACCCCCTTCTGCTCATCCAAGGACATCTACTCTGTCCTCTCAGGCAAATTCTCAGCCCCCTGTACAGGTTTCTGTGAAGACTCAAGTATCTGTAACAGCTGCTATTCCACACCTAAAAACTTCAACATTGCCTCCTTTACCTCTCCCCCTTATTACCTGGAGATGATGACATGGATAGGTAAGTGTCATAGTTAACTGAAAAACCTAACCCTCTTGATCTAAGTGTAATACATTTCTGTTTTCAAATTTTGTTAAAACTTCTCTGATGCATGGCTGTTAGATTGCTTTCATGAATAGGAAATGCCTTTGATGTTTGATTTTCAGTGGAAAACTTCAGTTATGATGTTACTTGGGGAGAGAGTTTTGAGGCCTAGTAACACATTTTCTTACAAGTTTATTGGTAAGGCTAATTTTTATTCAGGTTTCTAAGAATCAGTAGCATTTTTCTCCCTGAATTTTATGTTGAATATTGTAATAGGTGTAGAAAAATTAAAAGAACAATACCCTTACACTCTTCTCCCAGAATGAACCAGTTGTTAGCTTTTTGCTACCTTAGTTATCATGACCCTTTACTTCTGATTACTTCAGCATGTCTCTCCTAACAACATTTTTCCTGTATAATCACAGCAGTGTCATCACCTAAAAAAAAATCAGTGTAATAGTATAATATCAATAATCATCTGAATAATTTTCCTAGTTGTTTTTTTCCTCCAGATCCAGGAGAAAGGTTTATTTTGAAAATTGATGCTTTAAAAAAAAAAAATTCTCCTGTAGGAAGGAAAAGAACAATACGTAGAATCTTTGCTAATTAGAATATAAATTCACAATGGGATGATGGTAAGAACTCTAATTTTAATGAGTCCTCTGAGTATTGAGAACTGAAATGATTGTGAAGCATGAATCTTTATGGAAGGCATTAAGAAATATATTTAATTTCTTGGCAGAACTAGCTAGGCAGGTATCTGTTAGCAAACAAGCTTTAGCAATTACATGAGGTGTCAGTCTTTGTGTTACTGTTTTTTTTCTGTTGAGATCCTGCCCTCTTGTTCTCTAGGATATGAGTTTTCTTTTTTAAAAAAATTTATTTATGCATACAAGAGCTGGGGTACAGGCCAGAGATGGGGTATGTGTGAGAGGATTCACCAGAGACAGAGTGGGGAGCAGAACAGGCAGATGTACTGAAATACACTGCTGAGGGGAGCAGCAGGCGAGTCAGGAGAGATCTGCGCTATATGGGTTGCTCCCTGGCGGGCCGGGAATCAAATTCGTGCTGCAGAGGCTGTAGATTGCTTCATAGCACGGTGCTTAACCTAGTGCCACCAGGAAAGCCCCGAGTTTTATTTTTCTGACAAACTTTCATTGTAAGAATGAAAATAAGTACCACTTATCTTTCATTCCAGATCAATTTCCAAACCTTCGTACTTTTTAGGTGACATCAGTAGTATGAACTGTGATACATTTAAATCCTTTAGGTCTTTATTTTTCCAGATTACCCTCTGTGCCTTTTAAGATGCAAGTGCATTAGATATATTAAAAAATATTTGGGGGGCCTCCCCTGGTGGCGCAGGCGGTTGAGTGCAATGCTGTGAAACTGTCCACAGCGTCCGCGGCTCGGGTTTGATCCCAGCCGGCCAGTGAGAATCCCACATGGCACGGCAGGCCTCTCCTTTCATCCGCTACTCCCCTCAGCAGTGTATTTCAGTCAGTCTGCCTGTTCTGTTCCCTGCTTTTGTCTCTGGGGAATCCTCTCACCCTCCTGCGCATCTGGCCTGTACCCCGGTTCTTCTATGCATGAATAAATAAATCTTAAAAAACTATTTTGGGGCCTCTGTTTGCCTATGGGTTAAGTCTCAGCGCTGTCATCACTGTGGTCTTAGTGGAGTCCCTGGCCAGGGAACTAATCTAACCCACATATGACACAGCGGACCTCTTGTCTCACTCACTGCTCCCCTCAGCAGTGTATTTCAGTAAATCCACTGCTCTGTTCCCCACTGTCTCTGGTGAGTCTTCTTAACCCTCCACACCTCTGGCCTACACAGCAGTTCTACACGCACACACAAAATTTAATGGCTCCATTTTTTTTTTTAAAGATTTATTTATTCATACAAGAACTGGGGTACAGGCCGGTGGTGTGGGGGGTGAGAAGATTCACCAGAGACAGAGGGGGGAACAGATCAGGCAGACTGACTGAAATACACTGCTGAGGGGAGCACTGGGTGAGCCAGGAGAATTCTGCTGCGCCATGTGGGTTGCTCCCTGGCCGGGCATTGAACTCATGCTGCAGTAGCTGCGGATTGCTTCATGGGTTGCGTCTTAACCCCTTGCGCCACCAGGGAGGCCCTAATGGCTCCATTATTAATCAGTGGTAAATCTAGATTTTAAAGAAAAATTCCACATGTTCTAATACTTATTCATGAATTTCTACCACAGTTTGAGCATAATAAATAGAACTTGTATTTTATGTAGAAAAATTTGAAGTACACAATATACACATCACAGATAAAAGCAATGTGTTTTTATACTTCTTGTTGAAAAAAGAAATAGTTGGGGCTCCCTGCTGGCGCAAGGGTTAAGACACAACCTATGAAGCTATCTGCAGCCACTGCAGCATGAGTTCGATTCTCGGCCAGCCAGGAGCAACCCATATGGCGAAACAGATCTCTCCTGTCTCTCCCACTGCTTCCCTCAGCAGTGTACTTCAGTCAGTCTGCCTGTTCTGCTCCCCACTCTGTCTCTGGTGAATCCTCTCACCACCCCCAAACCTCTGGCCTGTACCCCAGCTCTTATATGAATAAATAAATAAATCTTGGGCCTCCCTGGTGGCGCAAGAGGTTAAGTCACAACCTATGAGGCTGACCGTACCCACTACAGCACGTTTGATCCCCAGCCAGGGAGCAACCCATATGGCGCAGCAGACCTCTCCTGACCTGCCCACTGCTCCCCTCAACAGTGTATTTCATTCAGTCTGCCTGTTCTGTTCCCGACTCTGTCTCTGGTGAATCCTATCACCACCCCCCCACACACACACCTCTGGCCTGTAACCCTGTTCTTGTATGCATAAATAAATAAATCTTAAAAAAAAAATATTTAAAAAAAAAAGAAAAAAGAAATAGTTGATCATTATCTACCTAGAGAAAAATCATGTAAATATTAGTTTACATAGTGGTTAGAAAACTAACAGTGTGGCTAAAAAATCCTAATTTTGAAATGTTTACTTGGCTTACTAAATAACTATTGAACCTATCTACTGTGTATCAGTGCAGTGTGCAGATTTCTAGAGATAGAGTGATTTTGATAAAAGGCACATAGTGATTTCTGTCTTTCAAATTTGGCATAAAGGGGTAAAATAAGGCTATTTAGTATTGGAGTATTTGTGGCTGTCTTTAAGAGTGTGTCTAAGAGAGAAGTAGGCAAAACTTTTTAATGTAATTATTTTTAAATGTATGATTATTATCAGATGTTTTTCACTGATACTTAATCTGAACTGTTAAATAGATATGAAGATTCTTTCACGATCAGGTTTTTTTTTTTTTTAATGACTTATTTATTTATGCATACAAGAACTGGGATACAGGCCAGAGGCGCGGGTGGTGAGAGGATTCACCAGAGACAGTGGGAACAGAACAGGCAGATTGACCAAAGCACACTGCTGCGGGAGCAGCAGGCGAGTTAGGAGAGGTCTGCTGCGCCATGTAGGTAGCTCCCTGGCCGGGGATCAAACTCATACTGCAGTGGCTGCAGACAGCTCCATAGGCTGTGTCTTAACCCCTTGCGCCACCAGGGAGGCAAAAAAATAATTTTTTTTTAAAGATTTTATTTATTTATTTATATAAGCACTGGGTACAGTCAGATGTGCGGGAGGGTGAGAGAATTCACCAGAGCCAGAGCGAGGAGCAGAACAGGCAGAAGGACCGAAGACATTGCTGAGGGGCGCAGCGGGCGAGGCAGGATAGGTCTGCGCACCATGTGGGACCCTCACCGGTGGCCAGGGATCGAACTGGCGCCTCAGAGGCTGTGGGCAGCCTCACAGCCCAGCGCTAAACCACTGCGCCACCTGGGAGGCCCCAAAATATAATTTTGATTTAAGAAACATTTTCAGGAAGAAATCTGAAATTTGCATATGAAACTCACATTTCCTTTCTGTTTTCTCATGTGAGACTGCAGCATCTTTAATCTTAAGAATGTGATTCATCTTTGTATTATAGTGCTATAGTTCTTTGACCGTATCAGTAGAACACAGAATGCAGTCAGTGAATATTGGTTATTTGAATAAGTAAAACTGTGTGGAGGAGTCAGGGTTAGGGCTTATGTGAAATTACACAGGTCATGTAGTTAAATGAGTTGAGGGGCTCCCCGGTGGCACAGCGGATTGAGCGCTGCGCTGTGTAGCTGTCCACAGCCTCTGTAGCACAGGTTCGATTCCCGGCCAGCCAGGGAGAAACCCACATGGTGTGGCAGACCTCTTCTGCCTCACCTGCTCCCTTCAGCAGTGTCTTCGGTCCATCTGCCTGTTCTGCTCTCCACTCTTTCTGGTGAATTCTCTCACCCTCCTGCGCCTCTGACCTGTACCTATTCTTGTATAAATAGATAAATCTTAAAAAAAAAAGAAGTGAGTTGACACATGGATGATGTAAAACTTGAGTGTTTGTTTTCTTTTGGGATAAGAATGAAATTCCCTTCAATCATATATATTTAGGGGAGGAGTGTATTAACCTAGGTATCAGTGCAGGAGTGAATTTAACTAATGGTCAAAGCCTTCTTCATTCATGGTTTGCAGTTTTTGGTTTCAAGTAGCAAAGGTGGGTACCGATTCACCCACTTGATATAGTACATTCTTCATGAACATAGCTATTCATGGGGATCTCCTGCTTTTAAGGAGATCATCTATATGCTCTTCTTTAAGATTTCAGTTAACTACATAGGGTTTTTTAAATTTTGTCTGTTTTTTGGATAACCTGGTTCATTTTGAGTTTATATGATTTTAGAGTATGTTATCCTTTAAGTTTATATCTTTATAAAGTATTGAGCTTTGTATAAAAAAGAAAGGATCTGTGTGAGCACTCAGATTTGATTTAGGATTTTGTTACTAAAATGTGTGGTTCCCGTTTTTTATGAATTCAACTCAAATTTTCAATAGAATCTGTTTATAAAAATAAATCACTTTTTAAGTGACCTGCTTCAAGTGGAGGGGATAAATAATCACATTTGAAATAGTTTATATTGTTATAATTTGAAAATTACCTTTTTTAAAAGATTTATTTATTTATGCATACAAAAACTGGGGTATAGGCCAGAGGAGGGGGTGGTGAGAGGATTCACCAGCGACAGAATGAGGAGCAGAACAAGCAGATCTACTGAAATACACTGCTGAGGGGAGCAGCAAGCAAGACAGGAGGGGTCTGCTGCCCCATGTGGGTAGCTCCCTAACCTGCTGGGGATCAAACTTGTGCTGCAGAGGCTGTGGATAGCTTCATGGTGCTGTGCTTAACCCCTTAAGGCACTAGGAAGGCCCTGAAAATTATCTATCAAGAAACTAATTTTCTGGGGCTTCTCTAGTGGTGCAGGGGGTTAAGCATCACACTGTGAAGCAGTCTGCAGCCTCTGCAGCACACGTTCGATCCCTGGCCGGCCAGGGAGAAGCCTACTTGGCGAGGCAGACCTCTCCTGTCTTGCCCGCTGCTCCCCTCAGCAGTGTATTTCAGTCGGTCTGCCTGTTCTGTTCCCCACTCTGTCTCTGGTGAATCCTGTCACCCCTCCCCCCCACCCCGCAACTCTGGCCTGTGCCCCAGCTCTTATATGCATAAATAAATAAATCTTTAAAAAAAAAAAAAAAAAACTAATTTTCTTGTTAAATAGTTCATGTCATTTTATATTCTTTATTAACAATAAGGACTTATTAGAGGTGCCTATAAACTAAATTGTGTCTATAAACTAAATTCCATAGACTATAGACTATCCATATTCTAAAATATAATAATATATTTTATAATATTTATAATATATATTTATAAATACTATATATTTTATTATATCCTGTTTTATTTCATCTTAGTAAAATCCTAGGGCAGGCCTAGAACTTGACAACTTTTAAAAATTATTATACATGAATATTATGCAGCCACATGTGAACTCACCTTCAGCTATAAATGAGGTATCAGTATTATTGATAAGTAGATAAGCACTTTCTGATATTGAATCTTCATGTAATGACTTAAATGTTCAGCATCTGTTTCCCTGTGTTTGATTGTCTCTGCATCTACCATATGTCTCAGCACTGTGTAGAGCTATATTTTACTACTTGACAGTACACTAAAGATTAGAGGCCATAATATTGTTAAGCATTGCAATTTTATGCCGCATCATTATTTCCATGTTTTTTTTTTTTTTAATTTTTTTTTTTTTTTTAAATAGAGGCATTTTTTTTTTATTTATTTGTTTGTTTGTTTTGTTTATACATGCACTGGGTACAGTCAGAAGCGCCGGAGGGTGAGAGAATTCACCAGAGCCAGAGCAGGGAGCAGAGCAGGCAGAAGGAGAGAAGTACACTGCTGAGGGGAGCAGCGGGCGGCAGGAGAGGTCTGCGCGCCATGTGGGACCCTCCTCCGGTGGCCGGGGAGCAGCCGGGGAATCGAACCGACGCCGCAGAGGCCGCGGGCTGCTACGCAACCCAGCGCTCAACCGCTGCGCCACCGGGGAGGCCCCTATTTCCATGTTTTTGATACATTGGTATTTGTTGAAACAGGATTTGACCTCTATTCAAATTGTGTGCCCTAAACTGGTAGTCTATCTCCTACCAAAACCACGTTCTTTCTTGTAATAAATGTGCTAAAATGTAACTTTTCAGGGGCAATACACATTTTCACAGCGAACTGTACTATATTTAAAACTGTACAGTAAACCCTAAATATAAAACATAAATTGAACTGAAATGAAAAGATGGTGAGAGAATTTAGATACTTTGAGTCTAGTAAAGCAGACTCAAAAGCTACTACTTCTTACCAATTTTTATATCATTTTAATCTCTTGAAATCAGACAGTACAATCAAATCTAGATTAGTTTATACTACCTCACTCAGAACCAACATAGACTGTGGAGTACAAAATGATGCCTCTGAAAATCATGAGGAATTGAAATGGACATTAGTAATTGAGAAATTAGGAATTTTCTTTCTCTGAATGTTTTAAAAACTAGAGAAATTTTTAGAATTTATACTACACCCTGACTTGAGTTTTCCGGCAGTAGGCTTTCTTCCAAAGATAGAAAAATCTTAGTGCAAATGATAAATATGTGGTGTGTTCATCTCTACAAGATTCACCACAAAGTTTCAGAGGATCATTTTGTACTCCAAATGATGTGGTACAAACTAATTGTACTGTCTTATTTACAAGAGATTAAAATGATAAAAATTGGGGCCTCCCCGGTGGCGCAGCGGTTGAGCGCTGGGTTGGGAAGCTGCCCGCAGCCTCTGCAGCGCCGGTTCGATCCCCGGCTGCTCCCCGGCCACCAGAGGAGGGTCCCACATGGCGCGCAGACCTCACCTGCCGCCCTCTGCTCCCTGCTCTGGCTCTGGTGAATTCTCTCACCCTCCCGCACTTCTGACTGTACCCAGTGCTTGTATAAATAAATAAATAAATCTTTTAAAAAAAAAAAATAAAATGATAAAAATTGGTAAGAAGTAGTAGGTTTTGAGATTGGACACAAAAAAGGGTAGTAGTATACTTTTTTTTTTTTTTTTAAATAGAGGCATGTTTTATTTATTTATTTGTTTGTTTGTTTTGTTTATACATGCACTGGGTACAGTCAGAAGCGCGGGAGGGTGGGAGAATTCACCAGAGCCAGAGCGGGGAGCAGAGCAGGCAGAAGGACCGAAGTACACTGCTGAGGGGAGCAGCGGGCGGCAGGAGAGGTCTGCGCGCCATGTGGGACCCTCCTCCGGTGGCCGGGGAGCAGCTGGGGATCGAACCGGCGCCACAGAAGACGCGGGCAGCTTCGCAACCCAGTGCTCAACCCGCTGCGCCACCGGGGAGGCCCGGTAGTAGTATACTTTTAAAATATACGTTGTAAAAAAAAAAAAATATATACGTTGTAAGGGATAAATCTATTCTTTGTTCTTCTATAATAGAAATATTCATGCAAAGAGTATACTTTTTTTATATATCTACTTGTCAAAAAAATGGAGTAGGCTCCTGGTGTGGGTAGAATCCCAAGATTCTTCTTAACATTTTTATACTGTGATGGTATAAAAAGGACTTACTGTCTAGTATGGGTTTTTTTTTTTTAAGATTTATTTATTTATACAAGCACTGGGGGTACAGGCTGGGGGCGCGGGACAGTGAGAGAATTCACCAAAGACAGAGCAGGGAGTAGAACAGGCAGAAAGACTGAAATACACTGCCAAGGGGAGCAGCGGGTGAGACAGGAAAGGTCTGCCACTCCATGTGGGAATCTTCCTGGCCGGCCTGGAATCGAACCGGCGCTGCAGAGGCTGTGGACAGCTTCACAGCACTGTGCTCAGCTTTTACAGTGCTGGGCTCAACCTGCTGCACCACGGGGAAGGCCCCATGGACAGCTATTTTGATAGTGAAAGGGCTATTAAAGAAAAGTTTTAAATAATACCACAGATGATCTTATCAAGTCAAGGGTTAGAAAAGGCTTGCTTCTCATTAGAGGAAAATACATTCTATTTTTTTATTTTTATTATTTTTTTAAAGATTTATTTATTTATTTACACAAGCACTGGGTATAGTCAGAAGCGTGGGAGGGTGAGAGGATTCACCAGAGCTAGAGCAGGGAACAGAACAGGCACACTGACAAAGAAATACACTGCCGAGGGGAGCAGCGGGCACGGCAAGAGAGGTCTGTCGCGCCATGTGGGGCCCTCGCCAGTGGCCGGGGATTGAACCGGCGCTGCAGAGGCTGCGGGCAGCTTCTCAGCCCAGTACTCAACCGCTGCGCCACCAGGGGAGGCCCGAAAAATACATTTTAAATTGAGATCTGAATAAGAGGGCCTTAGGTGGTGAAAGGGGTGGAATGGGGAAAGGCCTCCATTAGTAAAAAGACCAGTTGAAGGACCTTGCCGGGAGAAAGGAGTGCAGAAATTTTCTGCATGTGAAAGAAGGTAAGGGGACTACCCAGTGGAAAAACACAGATTTGGTGAACTCCAGTGAGTTGCAGTGCTGCTTTGTGAATTTAAAATGATGGCTTCCTGTATTTCATTTCATCTCAATGAAAATACTAATAGGAGCTTAGGAAGGACATTAGAGAACATGTTGTTACTGGAGCTACAAATAATACCCCAAAGTTTTAATTGTCTCTTTAATATAGATTCTTTTTGCAGAGTCCAGGTAAGTTTTACTGTGCTATGTTCTATTTCCTTAAGTTAAAGGCTTTTTTTCTCTTGAAATCCTTGTAATCAGCAGACATTATAGAAATATCCCCCTTTACCACTATTGGGAGATAATATTTACTATAAGATTTTGGTAGAGACCACATTCACAAAAATTTTATTATATAAAGGTTCTATATTATTACTGTTGTTAGTCTCTTACTGCACCTAACTTATAAGTTAACCTTTACTATGGATATGTACATATAGGAGAACACATAGCATATATAAAAGTCAGTACTATCTGCAGTTTCAGGCATCTGTTGGAGGTCTTGGAATATACTCTCCTTGAATAGGTGTAGTCTACTATATAAGCTTTAAAAAGTTTTATGTGCATATTCTTTAGTTGTGATCTTTTCTTTTCTTCCTTTCTATTGTTTAGTCCAAGAGAAACTCTTCCTTCAAAACCTGTAAAGAAAGAGAAGGAACAAAGGACACGTCACTTACTCACAGACCTCCCTCTCCCTCCTGAGCTCCCTGGTGGGGATCCGTCTCCCCCAGAATCTCCAGAACCAAAGTCAAGCACACCACCTCAGCACCCATATAAAAAGAGACCAAAGTGAGTTTTTGGAGGGACCTGTTCTTTTATTTATTTGTTTGTTTGTTTATTTATTTATTTATGCATACAAGAACTGGGGCACAGGCCAGAGATGCGGGGGGGGGTGAGAGGATTCACCAGAGATAGAGTGGGGAGCAGAACAGGCAGATTGACTGAAATACACTGTTGAGGGGAGCAGTGGGTGAGACAGGAGAGGTCTGCTGCGCCATGTGGGTCAGCTCCCTGGCTAGGGATCAAACTCAGGCTGCAGTGACTGGCAGTGGCTAGCAGCTGCTGGTGATAGCTTGATAGCGCTGAGACTTTAACCCCTGAACCACTAGGGAGACCCCTGCATAAGCGGAATTTAGAGATCCAACTGTTTTTCAGGAAAACAAAAATTTTCTACAACCAAATATATCACGAGCTCTTGATTCCTTCCTATTTTTTTAGTTTGTAATAGAATATTAAAGAAGAAAAAAATCCATTTAGTCGGGATGTGTCAACCATGTATATAATATGAAATGTACATAATGTATCAATAAATGAAAAATTAATAGATGTGGCATTTCCCACCCCCCCTTAAACCACATAAATTTGGCTTAACCTTTTCGGTTGTTCGCATTCCTCTCAATAAAATATTTATTGATCATGTGTCATTCCCAGGGTTTTAGATTTTATTCTCATAGTAGCCCTATGATGTAGAGTTTCTTTCCCCAGTTCGTAGCTGAGGAAAGCAATACTTAATAGAAGTCAGAAAGTAAGTAGCAGATCTATTATTTGATCTTATTTCTTCCTAAAGACAAATATCCGTGTCTTAGCCACTGTGAGAAATGGTCTAAACTATTCTTTTTATACTATTGATTCCTGCCTTTTCAATAAAGAAAGATGAAAGAATCAAGAGCCAAAGAATTCATCATAAAAGAATTCTCTTTTCATCTTTGAATAGACTTAATTTTTTTTAAAGATTTATTTATGCATAGAACTGGGGTGTAGACCAGAGGAGTGATGTGGGGGAGGGGTGAGAGTATTCACCAGAGAAAGTGGGGAGCAGAACGGGCAGATCTGCTGAAATACACTGCTGAGGGGAGCAGTGGGTGAGATAGGAGAGGTCTGCTCCACCATATGGGTTGCTCCTTGGCCAACCAGGGATCAAACGTGTGCTGTAGTAGTGGCGATAGCTTGCTAGCCACTTTGTCTTTAACTCCTGTGCCACCAGGGAAGCCCTAATTTTTTTTTAAGGTTTATTTATTTATACATACAAGAAATCTGGAGTGTAGGCAAGAGGTGTCAAGGGTGAGAGGATTCACCACAGACAGAGTGGGGAGCAGAACAGGCAAATCTACTGCGATACACTGCTGAGGGGAGCAGTGGGCAAGATAGGAGAGGTCTGCTGTGCAAAGTGGGTCAACTCCTTGGCCGGGGATTGAACTTGTGCTGCAGTGGCTGTGGATATCTTGATAGCCCTGTATCTTTAACCCCTGAGCCACCAGGGAGGCCCCTGAATAGACTTAATTTTTTAAAATAACTTTTAAATTTTATTTTTGTTTTGCCTCTTAGAATTTGTTGTCCTCGTTATGGAGAAAGAAGACAAACAGAAAGCGACTGGGGAAAACGTTGTGTGGACAAGTTTGATATTATTGGGATTATTGGAGAAGGAACCTATGGCCAAGTATATAAAGCCAAGGACAAAGACACAGGTAAATACTGCTTAGAATTCTGTATGTTAGAAATATAAAAATTTAGCAATACTAATAACATCTTAAGTAGAATTAGCGAAAGTAAATTTTTGTGTTTCAGTTCTGTCTCCTGAAGTTACTAAATAGACTAAATTTTCAAAAAGCACAGCATAATTGTTTTCTGCTATATATTACTTTTTTTTTTTTGAAGATCTTGTTTATTTTTGGGCCTCCCCTGGTAGCAGGCGGTTGAGTGCCACACTGTGAAGCTGTCCACACCCTCTGCAGTGCAGTTCGATCCTGGTTGGCAAGATACCCACATGGTGTGGCAGACCTCTCCTGTCTCGCCCGCTGCTCCCTGCAGCAGTGTATTCCATCAGTCTGCTGTTCTGTTCCCCAGTCTGCCTCTGGTGAATCTTCTCACTCTCCCGCACATCTGGCCTGTACCCCAGTTCTTGTATAAATAAATAAATAAATCTTTAAAAGATTTTATTTATATTTAAAGATTTATTTATACAAGCACTGGGTACAGTCAGAAGTGCGAGAGGGTGAGAGAATTCAACCGAGCCAGAGCGAGAAACAGAACAGGCAGATGGAACGTAATACACTGCTGAGGGGAGCAGCAGGCCGGCAGGAGAGGTCACTGCCTGCCATGTGGGAGACCCTCACCAGCAGCCGGGGATCGAACTGGCACTGCAGAGGCTGCAGGCAGCTTCGCCAGCCAGCGCTCAACTGCTGCGCCACCAGGGGAAGCCCTATTTTATTTATATTTTTTTAAGATTGTTTTATTATTATTTATACAAGAACCGGGGTACAGGCCAGATGCGCGGGATGGTGAGAAGATGTCCACTCCATGTGGGTTTCTCCCCGGCTGGCAGGATTGAACGCATGCTGCAGAGGCTGCAGACAGCTTCACAGTGCAGCGCTCAACTACCTGTGCCACCAGGGAGGCCTGATTTTATTTATTTTTGTGTAGAAGACTGGGGAGACAGGCCAGATATGTGGGGGAGGTGGGTTGAGAGGATTCATCGGAGACAGATTGGGGAGCAGAACAGGTGGATCTAGTGAAATACACTGCTTAGGGGAGCAGCAGGCAAGACAGGAGAAGTCTGTTGAGCCATGTGCATAGTGGGCCTTTGCCTTGGTAGCACTGAGACTTAACCCCTGAGGCCGCTAGGGAGGCCCTATTTCTGTTTTGTTGTTGTTGTCCACTGTAAATGTTTCATGATTGCTTGCGGAAAAACAGAAAAAAGATAAAATTTATAGGTTCTCTGCTTGATAGAGGTGTCAGTTCTTAAAGATAAAATGAAGTAGTTGAAATATGATTGCTTTGTTCCCCCCCCCCCATTCCCTTCCCTTCTTAATGGTGCATTTTATTTTTATTTTATTTTATTTTATTTTATTTTATTTTATTTTTATTGATGCATTTTAGTAGTCCAAAAGTTTTAGGCCTGATTGAATTTTTTTTTAAGATTTATTTTATTTATGCATGCAAGAGCTGAGGTATAGGCCAAAAGTGTGGGGAGTGTTGGGGGGGGGGTGACAGAATTCACCAGAGACAGAGCGGGGAGCAAACAGGCAGATTGACTGAAATACATTGCTGACAGGAGAGGTCTGCTGGGCCATGTGGATTTGCTTCTTGGTCGGGGAGCAAACTCATGCTGCAGTGGTTGCTGATAGCTTCATAGTGCTGAGACTTAACCCCTTGCACCACCAGGGAGGCCCGGGCCTAATTGTATTGAATTAAAATTTCAAGTCTTAAAATCAAAGATAAAGAGAACATAGGAATTTTTTTTTTTTTAAATAGAGGTATGTGGGATATAGCATAAAGTAGGCAGTAAATTTGTCTTTTTTTTTTTTGATTTTTTTTTAGATTTATTTATTTATTGATTGATTGATACATACATACATACAAGCACTGTGTACAGTCAGAAGCACGGGAGGGTGAGAGAATTCACCAGAGCCAGAGCCGGGAGCAGAGCAGGCAGAAGGACCGAAGTACACTGCTGAGGGGAGCAGCAGGAGGCAGGAGAGGTCTGCGCGCGCCATGTGGGATCCTCTCCGATGGCCGGGGAGCAGCCGGGGATCGAACCGGCGCTGCAGAGGCTGTGGGCAGCTTTGCAACCCAGCGCTCAACCGCTGCGCTACCGGGGAGGCCCTAAATTTGTCTTTAGAGCAGGGTCACAATGATGGCTAGAAAATGCTAACCAATACTAATAATTGCTTGAATTTGTTGTGACAGGCGAGCTAGTGGCTCTAAAGAAGGTGAGACTGGACAATGAGAAAGAGGGCTTCCCAATCACAGCCATTCGTGAGATCAAAATCCTGCGTCAACTAATCCATCGAAGTGTTGTTAACATGAAGGAAATTGTCACCGATAAACAAGATGCTCTGGATTTCAAGAAGGACAAAGGTACCAGCAAAGAACCACCTTTCTGTAGGATGATTAGTACATCTTAATTTCCTTTGCCTGTTTGAAATGGTTAGCAGTTCATTCTAAAGTCATCTTCTTTTTTTTTTTTAAAGATTTATTTACACAAGAACTGGGGTACAGGCCAGATGCATGGGAGGGTGAGAGGATTCACCAGAGACAGAGTGGGGAACAGAATAGGCAGACTGACGAAATACACTGCTGAGGGGAGCAGTGGGCGAGACAGGAGAGGTCTGCTAGCCATGTGGGTTGCTCAGAGGCTGGCGGGGATGGAACTGGCACTGCAGAGGCTGTGGACAGCTTCACAGCGCTGTGCTCAACAACCTGCGCCACCAGGGAGACCCCAGCTTCTTTAATCCATACCAAAATTATGATGTTGACAGATTGCTGAGCAATGTATTATATAAAATACCATTCTTCGTCAGTGTACTCTTATACTTTTAGAAGTCATTAAGAGTCTGTGCTAACACCTAATAAAGCAGGCTTATAAACAATGTAAGATCCTCTTTTAACATTTTAGACCTTTTATTTCCTTTTAACAAATTATAACAAAAATAATAGAATTGAAAACCTACATCAGTTATTCTCATATTTTTTACATTATCTTATCTAGTTTTTGTTTATATGTATCCATATTTTTACACAGTTTTTGCACTGACATAGTTTAGCATTCAAAGAAGGTCTATCTAAAACAATCTCATTTAGGTTACATAGTGGTATGCTCCCCTAGATTTGTAACTTTTGTCTTAGTGGGATAAAAATTACTGTTCATATAATTATGTTTGAAATAATTCAAATATGTATGACTGTGATCCAACCTACTTTTACTATAGCAAATCTGAAGGTTTAGAGATCATCTATGAAGATGGCATCTGTGAATATAGCTCTGAATATTGTGAGATTATGATTAATTTACATAAAATTGGAGATTAATGGATAAAGTTAAGCAGTGCTTCAGAGATTATCCCCGGGGGTATAGCCACCTCAAGTTTGGTAGATATAGTTTGTTGTTGTTTTTTTTGTTTTGTTTTGTTTTTTAAGATTTATTTATTTATTTATGCAAGAACTGGGGTACAGGCCAGATGCGAGGGAGGGTGAGAGGATTCACCAGAGACAGACAGGGGAACAGAACAGGCAGACTGACGAAATACACTGCTGAGGGGAGCAGTGAGCAAGGCAGGAGAGGTCCACCGTGCCATGTGGGATCCTCGCTGGCTAGCTGGGATTGAACCGGCGCTGCAGAGGCTGCGGACAGCTTCATAGTGCGGCGCTCAACTGCCTGCGCCACCAGGGGAGGCCCTTGGTAGATATAGTTTAAAAGCAAATAAATATTTAGATAAATTTATAAAAGTTAAGTCTGAGCAGAATTAGAATACTAAGTATATTTCTCTGATCATAAAAATAATGTAATGTATAGCTAGGTTCTGTAAGGATGCACAAGAAAATGTTAATTGGTTGCTCCAGCAAGGGATTTATTTTTATTCATGCCATTTTCTTGTTTGAATAATTTACTATGTAATGTTGAAGCTTTTTTTTTAAATAAATAATATAACTGAATGTGATACATTCCCATTATAAAAAGTATAGAAGAATTAGAAAAGAAAAATAGCAGTTACTTCTCTCCACTATAATTTCTACACTCCATTCTCTCCTCTTCAAAACCACCACCCATAGAAAACCACTATGGTATTAGTATTTTGGCATATTTTTTTCTAGTACTTTATATTATACATATTTATTTTGCCATAAGCAAGATCACGGTATGTTTAAGGTTTCATAACTTGTCATAAGCAATTCCCAATATTAACATGTATTAATAACTGTACTCAAAGGTAGCTAAATCCTGGGCCTCCCCTGGTGGCGCAGGCAGTTGAGTGCAGCGCTGTGAAGCTTTCCTCAGCATCTACAGCACCGGTTCAATCTCTGCCAGCTGGTGAGGGTCCCACATGGTGCGGCAGACCTCTCCTTTCACACCCGCTGCTCCCCTCAGCAATGTATTTCGTCAGTCTGCCTGTTTTGTTCCCAGCTCTGTCTCTAGTGAGTCCTCTCACCTTCACATAGATCTGGCCTATACCCTGGTTCTTGTATAAATAAATGAATTAATTAAAAAAAAAAACAAAGTTAGATAAATCCAAATTTACTTCATCAGTCTCTGTTCAGCAAGTATTTGCCAGTTTAAAAAAATATTATAGTTCTGTATTGAACAACTTTGTGCATAAATCTTTGCATTTGATTTATGTGCTTAGTATACTTTTGTAAAAAGATTTATTTTATTTATTTATGCATAGAAGTCCTGGGGTGTGGCCAGAGGCATGGGCGGTTATAAGATTCACCAGAGACAGAGTGGGGAGCAAAACAGGGGCATCTACTGAGATACACTGCTGAGGGGAGTAGCAGGTTAGACAGGAGAGGTCTGGTGCGCCATGTGGATTTGCTCCCTGGCCAGGGATCTACGGCATGCTTTAGTGGCTGGTGATAGCTTGATAGTGCTGAGACTTAACCCCTGTGCCACCAGAGGGGCCCCTGCTTAGAAGTAGAATTGTTTACCCAAAGGAATTTTCCATATTTAATGTTGGATTGCTTTTAAGAAAGATAGAAACAATTTATGTTCCACCAGTGAGTGCCCATTCCACTATATCAACTTTAATATTGAGTATATCTTTTTAAAAAGTTGTGAGTTTTTTTGGTTTTCTACTTATTTTATTTTTATTGAGGTAACATTAGTTTATAACACTGCATAAGTACTCAGATTACATTTTTCACCATGTCCACCACCAGATGTCCCATCGCCATATAAAGTTACCTTGATAGGTGGAGTGTGGTATTATTTTGGATTGCATTCCTTATGCTAATTCTGAGTTGTTTTTTCATGTTGATCAGTTTTTATTTCTTATTGATTTTTATTAAAATATGTTGTACATTATTTTAATTTCAGATATACAAAATAATGATTTGACATTTGTATACATTGCAAAATGATGATCCCAATCAGTCTATTTACCATCTCCTCTTAGCAGTTTTCAAATTTGCAGTACCCTAGTATTGATTATTAATTGTACAATATATTTCCTTGATTTATTTATTTTGTAACTGGAAGTGTGTTCCCCTTAATCCCCATTTTGCCCACACCCTTACCATCTACCCTTCTGGTAACCACCAATCTATTTTCTGTTGCTATAATTTTAATTTTGTTTTGTTTGTTTGTTGTCCTTTGTCCTCTGTCCACTTTTATGGTTTTAGTGATTTTCTTAAGTTGTATGAGGTCTTAGCTAAGTTTCTTTAAGATATTCCTTTAATGCAGTAGTAGTTCTTACCTTTTCAGGGGTCATAGAGTTCCTTATTTTTTTATTTTATTTTATTTTTAAAGATTTATTTATTTATGCATGTAAGTACTAAGGTACAGGCCAGAAGTGCAGGGGGTGAGAGGATTCACCAGCGACAGTGGGGAACAGAACAGGCAGACTGAAATACACTGCTGAGGGGAGCAGCAGGCGCGACAGGAGAGGTCTGCGGCGACAGGAGAAGTCTGCTGCGCCAGCTCCCTGACTGGCCAGGCATAGAACTCCTGCTGCAGAGGCTGTGGGTAGCTTCACAGTGCTGTGCTTTACTCTTGCGCGACCAGGGAGGCCCCCATAGACCTCTTTAAACATTTTATAGATCCGCTTAAAAAAATGTTTAAAATTTTGCATGCTAGGGCCTCCCCGGTGGCGCGGCGGTTGAGCATGGGGTTGCAAAGCTGCCTGCAGCCTCTGCAGCGCTGGTTTGATCCCTGGCCTCCCCGCGGGGCGAGGTTCCCACATGGCATGCAGACCTCTCCTACTGCCCGCTGCTCCCCTCAGCAGTGTACTTCATCAGTCTGCCTGTTCCGTTCTCCGCTCTGCCTCTGGTGAATTCTTTCACCCTCCTGCGCTTCTGACTATACCCAGTGCTTGTATAAACAAAACAAACAAACAAACCAATAAATAAATAAAAACATGCCTCTATTAAAAAAAAAAAAAAAAAAAATTCTTGTCTTGGGGTAGAGGAAAGCACAGTGGACTTTGGTGGAAGACTATGGTGCTTTGGTGGTGGGAGTGCTGCAGTGACTATACCTGAAGGAACCAGGGACTTATAAAAAGAATTTTTGCCTTTATGCTACCAGGAGACAGAGTTTTAGACTGATAGGTTATTGTCTAGGTCTAGTATTTCTCATTAGAGTGTTTGCCTCAGTCATGCACCCTGTTGAAAGTAATAGAGTGGATTTCAAATCTTTACAATTCTCTTAGTGTGCTACTTGTTTATTTTATCCACTTCTAAATTTAGGGAATTGGATTAAATGGTTCACCTTTTAATTCGTAAATACTATGAATT